ATAACTATGGTAAAAAAAAAAAAATACAACTGTAGCACACACCTTTCTTAATTTTAAACCTTTTGGTGTTCCCTTGTTCTGTTCAAGCAACTGCTTCTTGGTCTACGTACAGGTTCCTCACGAGCACATTTATGTGTTCAGGAATACTCATACTTTGCAATGTTGCCCATAGCTTGTCATGATCCACACAATATTAAGCCTTTGAATAGTCAATAAAGCACAGGTAAACATCTTTCTGGTATTCTCTGCTTTCAGCCAAGATCTATCAGACATCATCAATGATATCCCTTGTTCCATGACCTCATCTGAATCCGGCTTGAACCTCTGGAAGTTCTCTGTCGATGTATGCACGCAGCCATTTCTGTGTTACCTTTATTAAAACAACTTGCATGGGATATCAAAGACACTGTCCAATGATTTCCACATTCTGTTGGGTCACCTCTCTTTGGAATTAGCCAGGTAGTTGTTTTCCAAATTTCTTGGCAGAGATAAATAAGTGCCTCCAGTGCCACCTCACTTTGTTGAAAGATTTCAATTTGCATTCTATCTATTTCTGGTGCCTTGTTCTTTGCCAATGCCTTCAATGCACCTGGGACTTTTTCCTTCAGGATCATTGGATCTTGATCATATGCTACCTCCTGAAATGGTTGAACATTGACCATTTTATTTTGGTACAGTAACTGTGTGTATTCCTTCCATCTCTTTTTTTGATTCTGTCTGCATCATTCAATAATTTGCCCATTATTGTTGTTTTTAAGTGTCATTGAGTCAGTTCCGACACATAGCAACCTGTATAGGGTTTCCTAGAGGTGGCTGGTGAGCTTGAACCACCCACCTTGCATTTCAAACAACTTTGCAGTCTAACGCATTAACCCAGGACTCCAATTTGCCCATAGAATCCTTCAGTACCGAAAGTCGAGGTTTGAATTTTTTCTTCAGTTCCTTCATCTTGAGAAATGCTGAGCATGTTCCTCCCCTTGGATTTTCTAACTCCAGGTCTTCGCCCATTTCGTTATAATATTTGACTTTGTTTTGTTGAGCTGATCTTTAAAATTTTCTGTTCAGCTTTTGTAACTCCTCACTTCTTCCACTTGTTTTAGCATCTCTACGCTGGAGAGCAAGTTTTAGAGTCTCTTCTGACATACATTTTGGTCTTTTCCATCTTTCATGTCTTATTAATGACCTTTTGCTTTCTGTTCCCGGTATAGCAAACCATACTATTGTTTGATTCAAACTGACCAATACCTATCTAATTCAGCTCAGTAAGTAATGCTTAGTATAAAGATCTCTTTGCTTTCCATTCTGTTTTGTTTTGTTTTATTTTATTTATGGTTTTTATTGTGGATTGAGTGAAAGTTTACAGGGCATATCATCAGTTTTACATTCAACAAATCATACACCTTGTTTCATTACAATGATCATAATCCCCTCCATGTACCATCAATTAACAGTATTTCACTCTATCCACTTTAGCTTTTTAAAAAACAAACAAAAACCACTCAGTCATATATAATAATTTACATCTCCAAAGGGCACATTCTGCAGATCTGTTCCTGGCCACCAGCTCTTAATCCTTCTCTTCTTAGTCCATGAATCTAAAGTCCTCAGCTGCTCCCTCTCTCCATGCCCCCATCTCTGCCTCCATCTCTGGAGCTGCTGCTTCTCTGGATAAGGTCCCACATTCTGCTTGTGCCTTCCTCTCTTGATGGTCCTAGGGTCCTCTGTTTACACCTCCTTCCTTTGTTGCTGTTGTTAAGTACCATAGAGTCAGTTCCAACCCAGAGCAATCTTGTATCCTTATATTTCAAGGAGCCAGCTGATGAGCCTGGATTATGGACCTTGCAGTTCAAACTGATTTTGCAGTCCAAAGCCAGCTGACTCAACGGCTGGCGCTGTCCCTGGTGCTGACCGCATGTGTGCCTCCACTTTGTCATTTCTTTTTACTATCCGTTGTGGGAATCAATGATTCCTTTTTTATCTTCAAGAAAATGCTGCTGACTGAAAGAGCAAACTTTTTGAGGCATCAATCAGGATCTAAGAATCAATATGAGAATTTGGGTCCTGCTGAGATTCATTATAAGATTGAAGATACTGGCCCATGTGTCCCTCATTAACACTAAAGACTCACTACTCCTTCCTGCCCCATCATTTAGTGCAGTTGATGAAGGAGAGCAGAACTAAGCAGACAGCAACCAAGGTAAGATCCTCCAGCCCATTAGCCACAGTAAGGAAACCACCATACTTTGGCAATCTCCAGCCTGAAAATCTCCAGCCTGACTTCCCCTATCTAATCATATCTAAAAGCCCTGTGAATTCATCTTCTATATCTCTTACATTCATCCACTTGTTCTCACTTCCATCACCATTTCCATGATGATGGGGATTATCACCACTAGCCCATCACCACCCTCACTCTAATTACTCTAACTGCCACCATATGGGGGAGAAGGGGAGATGGTCTTGGATAAAATGTAGAATAACTGGGTCAAACTTCAGGTATTCGTGTATGTTCTGAAAGAATCTTCCCAGAATGTCTGTACCAATTTACACTTCCACATACCTTGAATGCATATAACAGGGTCAGCGCCACTCTGATATGGCAGCAATACACTTACATAAAACAAAACCATGTACAAATGGGTGAAGAAAAATTAAGCTTTGGCGCATTATGATATTGCTGAATGTGTAGCTTGAGATGTCTGGCAACTTTTCTTAAAAGGCTACTGAAGTTACATGTTTCTGCCTAATATATTTGCTACTGGTGATACAGACAGAAATATCACTCGTAGAGACCTATTTTAATGGTAGAAGTTTTTTATTTTATGGGTTATTTTGTCAAGTTCTGAAATAAACATTACTTCACCATTTAAAAAAACAAAACAAAACATGTAAACTATACTTCAATGACAAGATTGGCCAAAATCTATCAAACAAATTTTAAAAAGCGTAGTTTCAGATAGTAGACAGGACTAGTTAGCTGCTTCTGAAAAGTCACAGTTTTGAAAACCCTACAGAACACAGTTGTACTGTGACACACATGAGGTGGACAGCAAGTCAGAATCGACTCCATCTCCACAGCAACCAACAACATAAAGTGCATACTTGGGTTTAGCATGTGCCATGATTGGGTTGCGTGTATGTGGTGCTTCAAAGCAAACCTTCTAGATAAGTTTTTATTTTCCAGATGTTGTTGTTAGGTCCAATGGAGTCAATTTAAAAGTTAGGATGATGAAACCCAGGTGGATCAAGAAAGTCAAGTTCAGACAAGATCCTCATCAGGTAAAGTCTCTGACACCAGAAAGCATGTAAAGAATGAAATTGACGCGCACTTTTTCCTCTCCTGCCGCAGAGACACGGCTTTCCTGGTAGTCCAGGGAATGGACCAGGGGTCCCTGAGAAAGTAGAAGGGAGGAGTAAAGAGAAAGGACTTAAAAGAAGAGGGCTGGTTCTGCATGCGGGCTGGGATGGGGGCTTCCGGGACTGTAGGGCCGCCGGAGCGGGTGTGATGCAATCACGCCAGTGGCTGCGTGGAAGGCGGCTCCGGGGACGTGGGGACTGCGGTAGCCCTGGGTCAGCCGCCGCCCACCGCGTCCCGTTGTCAGTTGCGCAGGTCGCCTTCCTTCGCTGCTAACGTTAAGGGCGAACGCTGCCGCCCACCTTCGTTCTCCCAGTCGGAGACAACCATCCGGAGCCCGAGCCCGGAGCGAGCCCTGAAATAGTCTCCAGTCACCGGTAACTCTTGAGACACCTTACATCCGCCGCCAGCCACCCGGGCGCCCAGGCGCGCCATGAAGTCTGCGGGGGGCTCGCGCGGGGGCGGGTCCCGGGGGTCTGGCGGCAGCTGGGGCGGTGGCCGTGGCCGCGGCCGCGGGGGGAAAGGAGGAGATGGCAGCGGCCCGGGAGGCAAGGGCGGCTTCGGGGAACGGGGCCGCAGTTTCAGGGGCCGAGGCCGTGGGCGCGGCGGCGGGGACAGCAGGGACCGAGGCGGCGGCGGGCAGCGGCGCGGTGGTGTGTCCAAAAGCAAAAGCCGCCGCAGGAAGGGCGCCAATGTGGTCGCGTCTGTGGAGCCGCACCGGCACGAAGGCGTATTCATCTACCGCGGAACGGAGGACGCGCTGGTCACGCTGAACCTGGTGCCCGGCCTGTCGGTGTATGGCGAGCGGCGCGTGACGGTGACCGAAGATGGCATCAAGCAGGAGTACCGCACCTGGAACCCTTTCCGTTCCAAGCTGGCCGCGGCCATTCTGGGCGGGGTCGACCAGATCCACATCAAGCCCAAGTCCAAAGTGCTGTATCTGGGGGCTGCCTCGGGAACCACTGTTTCCCACGTCTCCGACATCATCGGCCCAGATGGCCTGGTCTACGCTGTCGAGTTCTCTCACCGCGCCGGCCGGGATCTAGTCAACGTGGCCAAGAAGCGAACTAACATCATCCCGGTCCTTGAGGATGCCCGGCACCCGCTGAAGTACCGTATGCTGATCGGGATGGTGGACGTGATCTTCGCCGACGTAGCCCAGCCGGACCAGTCACGCATCGTGGCTCTCAATGCCCACACCTTCTTGAGAAATGGGGGCCATTTCCTCATTTCTATCAAGGCCAATTGCATAGACTCCACGGCTTCAGCAGAGGCCGTGTTTGCGTCAGAGGTGAAGAAGTTGCAGCAGGAGAATTTGAAGCCTCAAGAGCAGTTAACATTAGAACCTTATGAGAGGGACCATGCTGTGGTCGTTGGGGTCTACCGACCTCTTCCCAAGAGTAGCAGCAAGTAGCCCTTGGCTAAGGCTGTCCCTGAGGTCTCCCCGGGAGTGTATTACATTCTGTATTACTCTGTATGCGTTTTTATGTGTCTGCATTTTTGTTGTTCTTTCTTTGTTTTCTATTAAATGATATCAAGAAACTGTACCCAGATGTCAGTGAAGTTTGGTTGGGTTTTGCTGCACTCACTTCAATCCCCAAACACCTGTGACCTAAAGCAATTCGTAATAGAGACCCAGCAAGGGCCAGCTGAAAGCTATGCTTGTTCTAATCACTCAGGAACCTGTCTCCTCCATCACTAGAGATAAACAGTTGCTGGGGAGCTACCTGTATGTGTCAGAGTAGAACTGTATTCTATGGGGTTTTCAATAGTTGACTTTTCAGATGTAGATTGCCTGTCATTGCTTCCAAGGTGCCTCTGGGTAGACTTGATCCTTCCACCATTTGGTTGGCAGTGAGCACGTTGGCCCTTTGCACCACCCAGGGACTCCTCTCCTCCATTACAGAGGCAAGGAAAATAGAGTTAAGGAATTGTTAATAAACTTTTTAAGTCTTATCTGAAACTGATAGGGTACATTTACTCACATTGGCTAAATCACATAACCAAAACTGACCTTGGAGGGGATATTTGATATTGATGGACTATAATAGAGTCTGATATACCCTGTCTTATTCAAAGTCAGAGACTTAATCACACTCTGATCTTTATTACATTGCTATTCCACTAAGACCTTCAGCATTCATTATTAAATTAAATCATTACACAGCCCTGAGATGGTTTTGTTACCATTTCCATTTTGCATGTGAAGAACTAAGCCTTCTGGAGGAACAATAGAGGCCTAAATTTATACAGACAATAAGTATGTGGAAATTAACTTCTAGTCTTTGGGGCTTTATAATCAAAGTGATCTTATCTGTCCCCAACATGGCATACATTAGACAAACTGCAAGTGTCCCCACTTTCGGTCAAAACCCAGGGACACACCCAGAGTAAGGTTCTGTGGTCCTCAGTGTGCTACACCACATCTTTCTTCTATTTCAAAATAGCAAAATAAGATAGGAAGATAGGATATGATTCACCTAGCTGAGTGTTCAACATTCAACACTGCAAGGCTCAACATACCCAAATCATATCACCAAGTGTCTGAGTCTGAACAACCAGTAAATACACTTCCAGGAAGTGTCCATCTTTGAAGGGCATTTCCTGCACACCCTGAGAGGCTGGACCTTAGACTCCAGCTCTCCAAACCAGCCCTAAGGGAACAGGAAAGTGAATCATCCCAGGAGAGATGGGTCTGCTCCAAAACCTGGTAAATCCCTCCAAATTATACCTTCAATAAAACTCTTCATTTATTCATTCATACACTAAAAAAGCATCCATGGCCAATCACCAAGGTCAATGACAATTGTCTTGGAATGATCACTCACTAATGCATCATTTGGGGACTACGTTTGCCGACCTAGAGACTTTGTGCTTGGGCAGAGATTGTGGTTGACCTGCCCTTTCCAAAAGCATACTTTCTTATTCCTCCCACAAAAAGGAAGATGAATCAATTTTTATAAAGGGGCAAGCACTCCCTCCTCCGCACCTACCCTCGCAAGGGAGAGCTACAGTGTAGAGCTGTTGACTTGGCTGTCTCAGGAAGAAGAGGGTAAAAGAGGTAAATGTCTTCAAGATACCAGCCAGGCTTTTCCATAAATAAGATGAAATTTCATTACAAAGTAAGGGTCATTGTTCCCACTTAACAGATGAGAAGAGTGCAGGTCAGCGCTATGACATGGCTTGTTTAAAAGATCTTTCAGGAAAAGTCACAGCTGGAAGTCAAATTCATATCAGTCTAACTTCAAAATCTATGTCTTTGCACTAACTCCTAACCATTCACCAGTTTTCATTGACTCTATTCCAACTAATAGGAATCCCAGGTGTATTTGTAGTATTGTGTGTGCCCTGTAGGGTTTTCAATAGCTGATTTTGTTTGAACTTTTTATTGGGAATTGAATGAAAGTTTACAGGCAAGATCATCAGCTTTACATTCAGCAAATCATATACTTTGCTTCATCTCAATGATACAATCCCCTCCATGCAACATGTTATTCTATTTCCTCCCTATGGTTCCCCGTTCACATCTTTTATTTCACAAATGAATAAAGTAAAAATAATTTGATGTACACATACAAAACAAAAATGTATATTCATATAAATGTCCATAAGGCACATTCTGCAAGATAACCTCCTGCCTGTTCGCACATAGCCTTACTCTGTCCATGGACCTTGAGCCCGCAGCTGCTCTCTCTCTTCATGCCATGGTCTCTGCCACTGTCTGTGTTTTCACTGCTTTTCTAGGTAGGGATCTCATGCTCCACTCATGCTCTTCTTGCTGGTGCTGGGGTTATCTGTTCTTTTTTTTTTTTTTTTTTTTTCTTTAAGGTTTTTATTGTGGATTGAGTGAAAGTTTAGAGGGCAGATCATCAGCTTTACATTCAACAAATCATACACCTTGTTTCATTACAATGATTATAATCCCCTCCATGTACCATCAATTAACAGTATTTCTCTCTATTCACTTTAGCTTTTTTTTAAAAAAAAACCACAAAACCCCACTCAGGCATATGTAATAATTTACACCTCTAAAGTCCACATTCTAAAAAAATAAAAAATAAATAAAGGCTACATTCTGCAAGTCAGCCTCCTGGCCACCAGCTCTTAATCCTTCTTTTCTCATGAATCTAGAGTCCTCAGCTGCTCTTCCTTTCCATGCCCCCATCTCTGCCTCCATCTCTGGTGTAGCTGATTCTCTGGATAAGGTCCCACATTTGCTTGTGCACTTCTCTCTTGATGGTCCTAGGGTCCTCTGTTTCTGGACTGTAAGATGAAGCATTCCCCTGTTTTTGTTACAAAACTTCTACCTTTACAAGTATGATAGTCGCAATTAGTCATGATGACAATTATTCACTATTGAATCATATGAATCTTATCCCCAACTCTTTTTACCAGACCCATCTAGACAAGATGAAAGCTATTCAGTGGGAACTCTTTCTTCTCCCCCACACTTTTAAACTATACTCCCTCTTGAAACCTTGTAAACCAGTATTCGTGCCTTTATCACCCCCTCATTTGAGGTAGCCAATGTCTAAGTTGTCCATCCCTATCTACCCTGTGTACAGAGGGGATAGCATTGATACTTGATGTGAAGACTCCTTCCCTCTCTGTTGATATTTACAGCTACTACCTCCATGAGTAGAGGTCGGGCTCATCAAATTGTAGCAATTTACCCTTGTCTCCTTGATTTAAATTTTTTTCTTTTATTTTCTAGAATCTTTCTCTACTCGAGTTCTGATTATCAAGCCATCAGGCTATGTCAAATGGATACTGTCTGCAAGTTTGGGTGTTCTTGTGCATCTCCCCTCACTTCATATCAGCTGGGTGCTTCACTCTCACCTTTAGCCCTCTGTGGCTATGTCCTTGTCCATGGGCTCAGGGGTCCCCAGGTCTCACCACACTTTGGACCAACCAGCCCTTCCTCTTCTCTGTCTCATCTCCAGGTCAACAGGAGTCAATGGACTGTGGTTGAACTCAGCCCATTTCTTCATTGATGCCTTTCCCCCTCTTCCATTCACCAGTA